CCCCCCCTTGTCCTTCTCACGCGCCCGCCGTCGCCACCGCCGCTGCTACTGCTGGATGCATTTCGCGTATACTCTGGCAATTCTGCTTTACGCCGCATATATAAAACTTTACGAGGCAATAACAAAAAAAAATAATCCTCCACGAGGACGCGCTTTTGCAAAATAACTGCACGTGGTAAAAGATAAAAGAGCAATAATTATTGAGGTCGTTCTAAAAATTTACAGTTTTGCAAATTTTAATTTTGTGACACCCAACCCAATCTTCCATATACAATTTTACAAAATTAGACTTTCAACCATTGTTAGATTGTAGATTTCCTGCTCCCCCTCCCCCTTTTCACATAAAACCGCGACACCGCGACTGGTCTGACGGCAACTCGCGCTCGCATATCGCATTTGGCGTCCTCTGCGGCGCTGTGCGAGCTGCAAAAGAGTGCAGTCGCTAAATTTGATTGTGCAGCTTGATTCACGGCGGTCTCGGCGACTTTGTGAAATAGCCATGCAGCTTTCGTGTGATGGCTTTTTTATATGTCTCTTCCTGTGTCTCTCGCTCACCTCGCGCTGACAAAAAAACCACAAAAAAACAAAAACAAAAAAAACTGACCTCCCTTTTTGTTATTCGTCTGTTGCAGATCGCCATCATTCTCCGCGGTGCCTGAGCGGTCGGGTTTAGGTATGTTGATGAGTCGTTTTCACCACCTCTTCGCGTTGTACCCGCCCCTGTTGCGCCCTCCTATTATCACCCCCTCCCTAACAAGCGCCATCCATGGGAAGACCAGGCAGGTCACGACCCCGGCGCCCGTAGGTCCGTCCGTAGGACTTCTAAGGGCTCTATTTCACGACAATTGAGCAATTGGGCGAATAAGAAACTGTTCAACAGAGTCAGCGAAAAGGCTCGATTATTGGAATTTCGATCGGTTATTCCCACGATTTGCGTGTTCGCAATTTTTTTAACCCCATAATCTAGCGGTAAAAAAATTGACATGATGTCTTGGTCGATTTTTCCACCCTGCTTAGCTCAGGCCGCAGGTCGTAGCAACCATGTGGTCGATTATAGGTGATTCCTAAAAAGGTCTGAAACAACATCTGGTTCTTTGCAAACGAATACGTATTCGTTCAATCGGTACCGATTTAAATACAGCCCAAAACGGGGGAGGCCTCTACCCTGCCGAATAACAGTGTACACTCTAAATGTAAAGGAACTTTTTTCTGTACCTTAAACTAGCAACAAAATGTTTGTCCACAAGAGATCGATGGACAAAAACGTGTCATTTTTAAGACAAATTGTGTCATTAGAAGGGACAAAATGTTCCTTGAACAAATTGTCCCCTCCTTGGAAACAAATTTGTTGCGAAAAAGGGGACGGATTTAAACGTCCACTCGCTGGGACAAATGTCTTGCCCACGGAACAGGAAACAAGTTTGTCCATGAGGATAGAACAGAATTGAAATTTTTCCTCTCTAACGAAACAATTTTGTAACTTGTAAATCTGTTCCCTCGTTATGGAAAAAATAGTTCTTTTACATTTAGAGTGTACTCCTGTTCCCTGAGCTGTGGAATGTAGATAAGTTGTCCGCAAGCAGCAGGCAATAGTGTTGGGGTTCTGGACCAGCCCTTCCCCTTCCCCCCGGCGCCGTTTCCCCCTTGGCTCTGTTGCGGCTGCCTAGCTACCCGGGTCCCCGGCTGCT